AATGTCAGTAATTTTCGAGGCAAATTGCTGACAGCTCTAAATTAGTTTTCCAACTGATTTGTACCGTCGCTCGTCGCCAAATTATGCAACATATAGTATAGTAGTTAATTTACGATTATCTTCTACAGCCCTATTCTCCTCTATTTGCAAATGTCTTAGCAGTATTAAAAAATTACTTGCCCTGGAACTGCGAATAAAGTATAGGAATGCAACACGCTGGGGAACCTTAATCAATCCTGCACATTATCGGAATTTCGGTGCAATTATAATTTCGCTCTCGTTCTCCAGATAATTAAGTTATTGTAAGTTTATTACAACTAAGCGCATGAAATCATATAGTGTAACGCATTACATGCTGGGTCATTCGACGAGAATGAAGTTTGGACTCGAAATCGGTAAATTAAATGAAAGATGCCTTAAAAGGAATAGACAATCCGTTGTTGATGCAGCGAGAAGCTTGCGAATTGCGTTATTCAGGGCGACACAATCTGCAGCTATATCTATGCCTGTCAATTTAATAACGGAAAATGGCCTTGAAAAGATGAGTTTACGAGCGTTCATTCATATTTTTCCAACGACTGAAAGGTCCGATATTATCTTCGGGTCAAATTATACACGACATAGATTGATGAGATATTTTAGTAGCATAATATGAGAATATTCCGCGTTCAAACATGTTGATACTCCCAGTAAAACTGCGCCATGAACACAGCAGACTAAAATTACCTCTATACAGTAACAGTAGCCGTTGATTTATACAATACCCATAGCTTAATTATTGGCTTTGACTCCAATGAAGCATTTTTTTATAGCTTTGTCCACCCAATTTAATTACATTTTGAATAAAATCATCGACATAGGGCTTGAACTTCAAATCTTTAACCTGCAACGCCAACAGTCCCGCGCAACGTACCCTGGTCCATCGATAGATGAAGTGCTACGCTTGGAGATTGATTGCATCGCGCTCGGCGATGAAGCAATTATGTAAAAAACTGTTTGAAACAGCGTTGGCGCTCAAAACCGCCAACCCGGTTAACGTTGCAAAAATTGATAGTTTATAAAATCCCATTCATCTCCGATGCATATTGCTGGCAGCTCTAAATTAGTTTTCGATGATATGTAGTAGTGTGATTACCTACCACACCTGTATTCTCCACTTTTTACAATGTACTCACAATATTAAAACTTGTCTTCTCAAATTGCGAAATTGTCCAATGGACAGGGATGCAACATGTTCGGAATCGTACTTGGTCATCTCACGCTTTATCGGAACTTCATTGCAACTCTGACAATTTCCCAAATATCTGTGCATTGTGAAAGTATCACAATTAGTGGTATGAGAAAATATAATATGATTGGTTCCATGCTTGGCGATGTGACGAGATTAGAGTTTGGACTCGAGATATTTTTGTAACACATAACATATAATATTATTCAGCATTAAAAATGCTCTACTAATTTGTTACATGCTGATACTTTCAGCACAAATATTCGACATGAACACAGAAGACTGAAATTTACCACCCGATATAAACCTTGCAACATTAGGCGTCAGGTCATGCGACAGGTTTCTGTCAATTAATGACTTCGGCCCAAAAGAAACGTAACTTGACCTAGTTGGCGCTGTCCAACTAATTTAAGTACATTCCGATTGACATCCCAGCCTGCGACGCACACAGTCCTGCAGCGCGCTCTCGATGATTGTTAGATGGAGTGCGGGGCGCGCACATAGCTTCGTGTTTGGCGACGAAGCGCAAGGAAAACACACTGCTCTTGATTGACAATACACGTTATTTGTAGCTGGCTGAGCGTTGACAACGCAGCGATTATAATTACAGCAATATTACAATGATTTGCCGAGAAGTGCAACATTCGGTACGTGATGATGTTTTCAACGCGCGGAAAAAACAATTACTTGCGCCGATACGTCTACCAGGGTGGTCCAAGGTTGTCGGCTCCACGGGCCACAAAATTATTTTCGCATTGTTCGCGGGCCACAATAGTGCCAAGAATTAGTAAACAGTGCAATACAAAACAAACACCTTTATTGTGCAAACACATAGTTATCCGGCATAGCCATTCTAGGCTAATAGAATCTGCATTCGATTTTTAGTTTTCTACGATGCCTATATTGTTTGCATATATTCTCGACCAAAAAGTTAAAAAGCCAGATAACAATTTTGACCGCCAAGCACATCATTCAACTTCGCTAGTTTCCTCAGCTATCCATAACACTACTTAATTCAGTGACAATAGTGATGACAATACGTCAAAAGATTTTTCTGATTAATTTTATGACGAAACAACACGAAATGCGATTTTTTGATTACTCTCCGAATGTGATGCGGGCCACAGATAATGAAGCGGCGGGCCACATGTGGCCCGCGGGCCTGGGTTTGGACCACCCTGGTCTACATCTATACCTGTCAATCTAACAAAGGAAAATCACCCTGGAAGAGGGGTTTACTAATGTCAATTCACAATGGTGGTGCAACGACCGAAAGGTCTCGTATTATCTTCGAGTCAAACTATATACGAAATAGATTTTCCTTAGCATATAATATTCTTTAGCGTTTTAACATGCTGATACACCCGATAAAAATATGGAAAGAGAACAGCAGTCTGCAATTGAATACTATATACAAACATTGTAACAGTAACCGTCAGGTTGAGCAACACCCACAATTTTACTTTGGTAGATATTTTCAATTGATTGATGATTTCGGGTAAAATAAAGCTCATTTTTTTCTTATAAATCATTGCCGGCCTAATTTATTTATTCTTTAATCAGAATGATTGACATGGGGCTTGAACTTCAAATCTCAAACCTGCGACGCGCTCTCGGCAATGGATGGACGCACTGCAAGGCGCGCTTTTGAAATCACTTCGACCCACCTGGAGAACGCAGAATAAATCAAAATCCTAAGCCACACTGAACAAATAATCCAGTCAGGCAGTGCTGTATTCCGAAGAATCTTACGCAGTAAATTCTTCTGATTGTGATATTCAAAACACATATGTACATTCCACTACATTGTACATGCATAATATTAAACTATTAGTTCGAGGGAAAGCGTGTATTGGTTCTGTTTTCGGTGCTATGTGCCAGCTATAGGGTCGAACGAAAATTCCAACGATCTTCGTCTAATTAACAGATATCTTTATTTAGATTTATTCTGAAACAATCATGTACACGAAGCTGTGTCAAACAGCATGGACGCTTCAAACTGACAAAGCCCGGTTGATGTTGCTTAGATTTATTGTTTGAAAAATGCCAGTTATATTTAATACAAATTGTTGGCAGCTCTTAGATTGTTTTCCAAATAATTTGCGCCGGCACTTTTTGCGACATTATGCAACATTGATAATATGTAGTATTGTGATTATCTACTACAGCCGTATTCTCTTCTTTTTACTAATGAGTACAGCACTGAAACATCACTCGCCTTCAAATTGTGTAATTGGTCAATAGACGGGAATGCATCGGAATATTACTGTATCACCTGACGCCTCATCGGAATTTCAGTGCAATTATGATTTCGCTTGTGGTCTCTATATAATCAAGTTACTGTATCACCTGACGCCCCATTGGAATTTCAGTGCAATTATAATTTCGCTTGTGGTCTCTATATAATCAAGTTATTGTAAGTTTATTACAACTAGGCGTATGATCATAGCATAATTCATTGCATGCTGGGTTAAGTTAATCAAGACGGCAGAAATTGCAAACAATTTTTAGGGTCTGCATCTTTGTCTGTCAATCTGACAATGGACAACCACACTAGTAAGACTAACGATGCACTAGTAACGGTGTGATGACCCGAACTATACACGAATAGATTGATGAGGTATTTTTGTAGCCTACAATATTATTCATCGTTTTAAAATGCTAATGCTGATACCCTCGATGAACAATTCGAAATGAACACAGCAGACTGGAATTGACCGCTATATACAAACATTGTAACGGTAGGCGTCAATTTATACAACACCCACAGTGCTACTTGGGTAGAATAAACTGATGACTTCGACACAAATAAGACGCATTTTCCTTTTATAGCTCTGCCGATTCGATTTAATACGATTTCAATTATAATGATTGACATGGGATTTGAACTTCAGATCTCCTGCGACGAAAAAAGTCAACACGACGACGCGCTCTTGGTGGTGATTGATATAGTGCGAGGCGCGTAGTTATCTTCGTGCTAGGCGATGAAGCGAAAAGACAGTGGAGTCATGAAAACCAGAGAATAGAGACGAGTGAATTTTGAAATCCAGGGAACGCCGGGGGAAAGTTGTACATTGTATTACATTGTTGTTGTTACTTTGTATACTATGCCTAAGAAGCTATTTTGGTTTTGTTTTTTAAAAACAAATCGCGAAAAAAGCAGTCTCAAGCAATTATCTTTCCGTACCCAACCGTTCACTCAAGACGCTCAAAAAAATCATTGCAGCTACATATCGCACCCTAGCGGAGCAAATTATACCACGTGAATGCGAAATTTCTGCTGAATCGATGTGACGCTCTGAATCTGCAATGGCATCTTGAAGTCAGGCGTATATATTTGAGTCTTGGTGTGCGGAAGGAAATTTGATTGTAGCAATACATAGTTTCTCAGTTAATCCCAGTTTATTTGGGGCATGGTTTCAGGGTAGAGCAGTTCGGAAAGAAGGTTAGATATTGATATTTCAACACACGAAAGTATTAATGAAAGTTAGGAGCCATCGTAATTTGGACCCAATTTCTTTCATAATACTTAAATTCGTTGATAGGAAAGACTCTGCAGTTTGGGTGCCAATAAAGAGACAATTACACTTGATATTGCTTTTGAATCTGGTTTAATACAAGCAACGCGTTGTCTGATAAATGCCATGTCCCACACTTGTCCCATTTCAGCAAACCTGCTACAGTTGTCTCATGCCTATCCCAATTGTTCCACTGTTTCTAGACCAATATCTCATATAATAGGAGCAGATGGTTGAAGTAAGCATAACAAGTGGAATTCATGCTACGTTCTGATATAGCATAGATATATTGTTCGGTAAAATGTTAGAGACACCCCAAGCAAAGACACATTGTTGAGCACGATGAGGAGATCCAACTTTCATTGGCCAATTTCACGCCACGAACGTTAAATAATCATGGTTCAAAGGATTTTTGAAAATCTCATCGACCAAATATATCTTAGCTCATTTTATAAATCATATATATATATATCAACACTTGTTCGTCTGAGCTGGCAGTCCTCCCTTCCTAAAAAGACGTCGTTCCACTAAATTAACTTGTCTGATTTAGCAATTATTGTTCTGGCATCAATCCATCTGAGATTCGATTCAAATGGTCAAGAGGCCAAATCAGAATCTTGCACTTCGGTGATACCTTTGGCATCGTTGATATATATTCGCGATGTAAACGGAAATGAGAAATAATTTATTGAAGAAAAAAGAAATAATAATTTTTAAATAACAAAATCTTATTAGCGCACGTGCTATATGATCTATTTGATGTGTATTACTTGTTTAAATAATTCCATTACATAAGTTATATATATAACTGATATCAGGCAATCTAAAGTGATTTTCTTATAGACAAAATCAAAATTCAGTTGAGGAACTGCCACGACCAACTATTACCATCATAGCAAACATGTGTTTCATTTCCTCATAAGATCTTCATAATTTTTTCAGTTACAGTTGTTCACAGTTACTTCCACTTTTTATCTTGCTCCTTCCTTCAAAATGTTGGGCTTGAAACGGCTTGCAACAACGCCGCGTCCATGAGATATTGGTTGCGGTGCTGATCTCCTGTAAATATTGAGAAGCACGCCGTTTAAATATTGTTAACAGAATCCATTTCTACTGTGTTCACTAGCATCTTTAACGCCATTAGGCATGTCGTGTTTGCGGATACAAAAGGAGATTAGTAACTGTTTTATGTGTATCTCGTTGTTATGAAACCTGAATCATTGAATTAAGTCGGGCTTGCGCAAAACTGTTATGAGCAAACACTAAATTTCCAAGCAAAGATGTTGTTGGCAAACGGCGATGTGCAGAGTAATGGCATACTCCAGAAAAATATTACGTAATTGAGTATTCTCCACCTGCATGAAATATTACTTAATACTGATTATCAATTGATATAATTAATTTCTCACCTTTTTCCTGGAGGAATCCAAAGTTCAACAGGTGAACACGTTCTGTTTGTGTTGTATTTCTTTTGTAGATCATCCTTTGTGGTAGATAACATAATAATGGGGTTACATAGAGGCTATAGACCTAATCATGATTGTTCGGCTAAACGAATGTTTGTAGTTTTTATTCACTGATTTTGTAACTGTGAGTTTTCCACGTACAATTTTTAAGAAAGTGACATTTACCATAATACATTTAATTTTAGACCGGTTACCGCAATTGGACAGACAGGTGTGTATGAATCGTCACACCATGCAACAAATCATTACTACGCATTGTCGCCAATTCTCGCTATTAACGTCTTCGAAATTCCCACTTTGTGCCATATTAAAATACTTTAAAACAGCTGTAAAGCTACATGTACAAACTTATAGGAAGCAAAAAAAATCGTGATAGCAAGTAGCTTTCTTTTTAAACTGAGAGTTCAAGTGCAAAATTAATGTTTACCAAGAGAGATCTGGGAATCTGAGCTGCAGCCTGCAGGGTTGTACCACACACGTGCACGGAGTATATTTGAAGGCCACGTTCAAGATAATAACAAATAAATATAATACCTTAAAATGATAATTGAACAGGATCCAGTTTTGAGCGTTGTCTTTGTCTTTATTTGCGTAAAAGTTGCCTCTGAACTTCCAACCGTGATGGACAACAAATGCGTTATTGAGAACTGCAAATTTATATCCTGCTATGTGTAGCTCGCATATCTGGAAGGGAATTGGAGCTAGAAATTAAGGTCCGTTTAAAATGTCCTTATTACAACCTCTCATCATCATAATTCAGGACGTTTTCAGAGTATAACATGATGGTTGGTTTTGTAGTACACAATGAACAATGTCTAATTTTGACTTTCTATTGAAGCACGAGTCACCAAACTAACCCCTGAGGGCCGGATACGAAAATTCCCATATCGCGATCTAAATTAATATTTTATTTCTGCCGCGGATTTATGCTTTTTTGCCGAGTGCAACATACCTGTTGAATTCTGTCGAATCCATATTGTTTAAATCTCTCATCAAAAAGAGGAACATTACGATGTGATATGTAGAAAGGTTCCCAACTTTTGTCCCAATCAGCATAAAAAGCGACTTCAAGATTCGAAACCTAAAAATTAATTCAAATATTTTATTTTTATACAACTTGTATGAAGGATTATATGAGCCGTAAAGCACTCATCCTATATGAGACGACTTTAGGAGAGTAAACGAGAATCAGCATGTTTTCGATTTGTTAATGTGTACTAATCGGCTTTGGAATTATATAATTGAAAATTGGGTGATTTCAGCTTTTTGACCAACTTCGAACAAATTTTTAATTTTATATTTTGAGTTACAATTTGTACTTACAGTGTTCAGAGCGAACTTATGACACGAAAGGCTTGTGTCGACAATAAAATAAAAAATCATTACCTGTGGAATTTTTCGCCAAAGATCAAAATTTTCGCTTCTGTGGCACCACCAGCAAGTCTCATTGTGAAAGGTTCGTACGGTACCAGTACGAATCTGAAAAAAAAGGAATTAAATGATGAAGCAACGCTGCTAATCACAGAATAAAATAGCAATATTGTTGATGCGTGATTACCCATCGTGGGTGCGTGAAAATTTCCGAAATTCAGGATGATTCTTGTGATTAAAGAATCATTTAAATTTTGTAATTTATTTTGTAAATAATGCTGTACGCGTATATATCAAGAGCAATTTTTTACGAAGTCGTAGTATATTTGATTGTATGAGAAATAACTTACCCCAGATAAGAGTTCAGTTTTGTTCGATGGCATTTTGATACCTTTCTTTATTTCGAAAGCAGCGACAACAAAAACAGTTTGCTCCGTTAAAAGTCCAAATAAGGAATGACGATACGCAAAATTGTTAAACTCCTGACGTAACTCAAGGTTTGGCATTGTGTCGATATCTGACAAAATATATATATATTGAGTATTGTTTTCATTGCAATTGTGCATTCTATCAAATGTAAATAAGCTTTATGAAAATATTGTTTATGTTTTAGAAAATGTTAGGTATAATCGAGGTAGATACTCTTTTAATTGTTGGTAACGGCCCAAATATCGGGTATCATGAACCAAATATTTAACATTTCAGAAAAGACAAACTGACGCACACTCTTCAATGGCATTTTATAAATACTAAAACAAACTTGAAAAAAAAAATCGGAATCTTAACCAATGCTGTACTGAAAGAGTTCACAAAAAGAATTAAAAAAAAGCATCGCTTCATTACTAATAAATAATTGTATAGAATAGAATCCTTGTAACAAATATGAAACTCACCAATAAGTAGTACAAATTCAGTTATAACTCCCTTCCTTGCAACATTTCTCAGTATATTATGAGGGAATGGGATATTTCCAACGACATAGTTCTGATAACCATAGTTTTGTAATTTGTCCAGAAGTGCAGAACACGATAGATCTTGCCAGACACCAACCTATAGAAGTGGGATTTGTAAGAATATACAATTCCAATAATTGACATAATGATGTTATGAGAAAATATATTAGCGCTGTATTAATAACTAAGCACGCCCGGTCAAAGACATTTCATTAAGCATTAGCGCTATGATATCATATTAAACTGTTTAATTTTGTTCTAGGTGATCAAAATATATATTTTACATTCTAAGATGTTATTTTGATGAAATATTCGGAACGTAGATTTTCGTCCTCCAGAAATAATACGAGCATTATAATGAATGATATAAATAAACTCACTTTGCTCACATCAGCGGGATGCTGTGCCGGGTACACAAGGTGAAAATCCACGTATTTACGGATATCCGAGAAGCATTTTCTCAATATATCTATTGCATCATCGGCATAACTTGCATCCTGTATTTTAATAAAACATAAATAAAACGTGTTTTTTGAAAAAGTACTTTAAAGAAAAAACAACTAACTGACTCAAAAAAATCTTGCATTTATGAATATTCGATTTGCCATATAGCCTATGAATTGTTCATATAAACTTGAAAATGAAATAGAATAAACTTGTTTAAAATAAACACCACAATATAATACTTTATTTCGGAAACTCAAATTCACAAAATACAGGAATAATAAACTCGGACTTAACGCAAAACGGAACTTTCTGGGGACCGCCACAAAACACAACTACTTGAAACGTTAATATTACTTAACTAAACTCAAGGAAGAGAAGTGAGAATTATTGGCTTTGGCTTCAAGTAATAAATAAATAAACTCGATATTTGAATGAATTTACCAAATTCGGGGCAAACACTGTGCAGGATATTGGTCCCTTCCATCGCTCTGCTAACTCCACCAAATGGTGCAAATGGTTGACCGAACATTGTGTGGCAATAGAGACATCCTGTAAAAGCAATCGTATATATATATATATCAATAACATGCGGATTGCAGCGTATACGTGGTTTTAAATTGAAAAAAAAAACTTACATGGTAGGTGTAATCTTGGGGTATTCCCTGGTGTTTGTAGAACTGTATAATTCGATATTCCGCACTGTATATAATAATGTTTAGAATTAGAATCGAGGGTGAAGTATTTTTTATAGAAAAAAGTACAAAAAACATAGCCACGATCCGAGATATTTCGGGACCAAAATATTTTAAATTGTGCTCTTGTTTTGTTCCTGTTCTTGCTTTTACTGTAGTAATATATATATATAAATTATTCGAGCAATATACTAACCTATAATCTACGGTATCACCGGCAAGGTGTACGCTTGGCTCGGGATCGATGTCTTGCGAATTGTAGATAATTAAAGCTGCGACTTGAAATAATACGAGTACACCTAACTTTGTAAGCAGGTTTACACGAAGACAGACCATAACATAAATTATAAAATCTAATTTTAGTAAAAAGGGTAAATCAGGGCAGCGTATTTCAACGATTAATTACGATTAAAAGTTATCCTCGCTAATTCTCCAAATTAAAAAATTCTTCATAAGCAACTACATTCAATTCGACCAAATTATTGAATTTAGAGCGCTCCAGAAGTGTGTGTACCAATATGGTGGTAAATAATTTTGTTCGCCTACTTTACATCAAGTTGTGTAAAGAGACTGAAACCTATGAGCAGGGGGGTATATTCACTTGGCTAACACAGACAATCCCCGCACTCGTAATAAAACTAAACTAAGGAAAATTGGAATAAAATTATGGCCCAACCCTAACTTGGTTGGTACGCACACTACGGGAATACTGAATTTAGAGTCGTAACTAATACACGCCTATGTCTATGTAAATAATGTTCGTTACTGTCATCAATAAACAATATTGATTTCTGTTACAAACCAGAAAATATATAGTGTATTGCATTTCGTTGCCCATCCGTGATAATCTATTTAAACAGCTCTGGGATCTGAAATAGTATACTGCACCAATACGCTGTGCGTTCTCAATATTATATCAATGAAATCTTTAAAATCCCCAAACGGGTAATCCAATTACAATACTTTCAATTATATAATGCTATCGAATTGCTCATAATTCTTTGGAAATTTCTTGTAAAATTTGTCTACGACCCTACTTATTTAAACCCCGACGTGCTATCGTCTGCTTGAACACGCCGAGGAGCTAAGATAACGCTCGAATGAACTTTATCAAAATACGCACTCGATTGAACAATTTCCGTTGTATACCGACGTTCGGATTGAATTCAAATTATAGGTTTCTAGAAAAATGAACGATAAGTATAGACTTCGAAATATCTCTAATATATATATATATAATTTCCACAATCATCTTATAAAAAATCCCACCTCAATAGATCTTGTTAGTTTAATCTATAGCCTATATACCACGGTTGATAGATTAATACAAGACTATTTCTAGACAAATTCATTTCGTAAAACGTATGCTTCAAACTCAACTTATCACGAGAACCATAAATACTTGACGTTTCACTACACATTGAAAATCTGAAATCTTTCAACGCGATAACATATTCAGTTTCTCGTAGCGTACAAGCAGTGCGTTTTCGTGATATATCTGAATACATATCAAACGGTATGATAGTCATGCAAATCTTTTCCTGATAACATCCAAGAACTGCTTTCGAACAGTAAAACAAAGCATACGAAACACATTTCAATCTGCAACCTAGTGAAATATCGATCAACAGCCTCGGGCATTTTAGCAGCTACAAGTCATTATTAACATGCGAGACGAGCATTCTGAAAGTATTTTCCGCCGGGAAGGGCGGGGTCGTCTGAAAGAAAATCTCAAACTATTCCTTTGTTCCCAGAATGCCCATAAACGAGACGATGTTTATGAATATGAGATTTTGGATAAAATTGCTTGAGCGCAAAATATTTTTCATATTCTGCTTCCATATTTTCATCGTTACCATTGCGCTTTACTTCTTAACCGCTACACCTAAATGTTATCATGTATTACGACACCATACAGAGACGGAAAGTCTGGAAATGTTTTCCGCCGGGGAGGGCGGGGTAGTCTAAAAGAAAATCCTAAACTATTCTATTGTTCTAGAATGCCCATAAATGAGACGGTGTTGAATGAATATAAAATTTTGATAACAATAGCTTGGGCTCAAAATATTTTTTATATTCTGCTTCCATATTTTCATCGTTAACATTACGCTTCACTTCTTGACCGCCACACATAAATGTTGTCATGCATCACGACACCATACAGAGGCGATATTTTGGGTTAGTGTGAAAACAAATGTGAATCAAAATCGAAAATATTCTCTAATCTTGTGAGATACATAACCTGATCCTGTTTATTACATCATTTATTGTGTTAGGTGACAAGATTAGGGTGATTCAAATTTCAGAATTTAAAACGAGAATTAGAATTTGGCACAGTCGCAGTGGTGTTAATTTTTGTAGGTAACTTACAAATATTATTACAAATTCTCCTGTACAATAACTTTAGTAAATCTTTATTTTATTTTCAATTTTGAAGCAAAATTGGGCATCTCACTATAGTGTAAGAATATAACTGATTAGAGATTGAATTCAAAGCGCGCGCTTTAAATATACTTTTTGTTACATTACAAAAAAAACGAATTCTTAGGTTGCCAAAATCATGTATATTTTTTGAAAGTTGAAAAATTTGTCAGCAACAAAAGTAATTATACAATACATTCTATGACCATTTATTGCCCATGCTCGTGTAGACCCTCTGCATTTTTCCAAGCCTGGGGTTTCTTCTCAAATTTAGTTTCCCTTTGCTACCGGCAGGAATGTCACTCAAAAAGTCCAATCCACCTAAATCGTTGTTCTGAAAATCCACGAAACGGAGCTTATTCAGGCCGTTAAATAATTCATTCGGAATATTCCGAATCATGTTTTTTCTTAGATATATACGTATAAGTAACTTTGCGTTTACAAATGTAGTTGGAGATAGGAATCTGAAAAACAACGTGACAACGTATTGTTGCGCAAATATATTTAAATGTGCCTTCAAATATATTACACAAGCATAAAAGCCATTTCGCATTTCATCAATATAGGCATGAGTTTTTAGCGATGAGAACTATTACACGCTACCACAACCACACATGCAGGGTGCATTAACCTTGATATATGTAAAAAAAATTATCAACAGAAGATTGAAGGGTTCAAATATTCACCAAAAATCTTTTTAGTTGGACAATACTGCATGATGAATGCATGAACTGGTCTTCATTAACTATGGAATGGTATGATCGAATGCCCAACTGATAGAATATGACGACTAGGTATCAGATTTATGTAAAGCGTGACATGTTAATGCAATTTACGCAGGGACATACATTAGTAAATTGAACTTTTAAGTTGTTTTCATTATGTAATGTTGGGCTCTTGTGTTGTTGTAGAGCTTGGGTTCGGTACGAGATTCTGAAATGCGGGGACCTGTTGTTAGTGAGTTCGATACAACGAGAGCCTGTTTTGAAAATGTTGAATCCCATCAGCACTGGGTGGTGGGTATACCAAGTCTTCATTCCTAACCCGCCAACATTGCTGGGCTGGAGCCAGCACACTTATTACCAGGCCATCGTAAAAACGTTTTGAGTGGTTAACAGATAAAAACGTCTAATTTTTTTAATGCTGGTACACGATCTGAGAGTTTACCTCAATCCGATATGATTTGCATAAACATAGCGTAATCCGGTAAATAAGGAGATGAGATCTCTGAAATCGTTTGCTTCCATGTTGAAGTCAGTTGACACATTTAAGTAATAAATCGATGAAGTAGGAACAGTCTGTAAAACGAAACTACTATACAAAACGAAAATGTGTACAGAGTATTTTCTATGCCTGGGAATCCTAGCATGGTGAATGTTTACAAATTACATTTACGAAAACCATGCAATATTTGAAATAGGAATGAGTTTTATTGCTATAATCTTGTAAAAATTAATTTTATGCTGTAGGAGAGCTTACTTTCACATGTAGCGTTGCTAACTTGAATTAGCTGCACTGGGTCATCACATTATCATAGGAAAATATTTCAAGAACATTCGCAATCATTTCTATGGTATATAAAAATTCTAAAATCAGTGTTTCAGCATTAATTCTGAGATAATAAAGAAACGAAAGTGAAATATAATCGAGGTGAATTAGCAGTATCAAAATACATGTATGTTGGCCAGGACCGTTGTAGGAGTATGGGTACAACAACCTTGACGAAAAGATCGGACACATGCTTACAATTATACATCTATATTTTGAATTCAAAATGATATCGAAGTTGTCATCTCGACTCACTATAAGACGTCGAATTATAGCGCAGTTTTGCAATATTCAACTTATTTCGACACATCTAACCAACTGGCGAAGTCATCAAGTTACCAGTGCTTCCTTGCATGACGTGACATGTTCATTCCTGATGATGGTTGGGCAAACATGGATAGAATTTCTCGCGTCCTGCACAAATGTTTGCAATGATACTGGGTCTTCGAAAAAGCAATATAATTCAATTTTGTTGATTCTTCCCCACCTGCTATAGCCAGAGCACGGTAACTGCCTAACGTTTTTATCTGAAATGACAAAACAATGAATATTATGTTTCAACTGATTGCCAGTATTCAAACACCAGCCCAAGTTGATAGTTACTGGAATATTCTTTACAGTTCCATGAAAGACTAAAATTTCTTACTTTTCGTTTATGTGCAAATTTACTCAAAAAGCAAGACACAGTTTAAAATATTTTTTCTGTCCTAACTTCAGAAAGAGAAAAGTGTCAACCACCAATCAGAGCACGGTATATATTTGCAAACGCACCGTTTTTAGGAAGCACCGTAAATGTTGTACTCATTCCTGCCACAGCATGATCGTTTACATGGCAATGTAACAACCAACTACCCACGTCGTCGACTATCATCTCAACTGTACCCATTTTTCCTGGAAATAGAGTGAATACATCTCCGTGTTGCATGACGTCAGATCTGTTGTACAAACGCGGAAACAAAAATAATGTTTGAAAACTAAATCATAATTACCAAAAATGTATTCTTTTCTCAACACATCTTTTCGGTCTCAAACTCGCTCTGTGGCCACTGGGAAGTTCAAAATACCTTAGATTGGATTATATTCATAATCATTAATTTCCCGCCATCTATTCTGCACAAAAGAACGACAAATGATGCTTAATTGCATACACAAAATATCGTTTATATAGAAAGATATCAAAAGAAGGCTTTAGAATACGTGTTACAATGAAAAATTTCGACATGGGACATAGTTAAGTGCTGACATCCAAAAACATTTCCATTCTTAAATATTGTGGCGTGAAAAAAAGTCACTGCAACCCATCAGTTCGCTACAATATATACATCTTGTCCGCCATTGATTTCTTCCCAAACACCTATTTTTTGACGTTTCTATTTTACAACGAACAACGCAATCGTTATTCATAACCCTTCATTACTTAAACAAATTCTAAATTGTCGTAAACTTACACGTGCATATAAGCGTGCGCATGGAAATGTACTGTATGTATGTCAACTTCATTCCCAAATCCTAACAGGTGCCACATCACTCGGTCTCCTTCAAACATTTTGAGTCCTTCAAGGTGATTAAGCCGACCATTGATGCCTAAAATTAAGTGTCTTTGATTGTTTTCTCTATTTGGCATTTTAAGTTATATTGAATCGAAAATAGTTTACATTGATAATACTTTACGAACAAAACACTAAGCAAGCTCACTCACTATGCATAAGATTACTCTCTACAAACTGTTCATCTTCTTTATCGAAAGTTTCAGGATCTGCCCCAGTAAATTGACGGATGTTTTCATCAATATAGTGGCCGTTGTTTTCATCCGTAACAAAAAATGACAAGAAAAATTCTGCATCAGCTTTGTCCATCAGTCCATCTGAAGATAATCCCCCTACAGAAAGGTAAACGCACTTCTTAAAAAGTGGAAAACCTTCACTTTATTACGTTGTCACAACGATATTACCGTTCACATAAACATATTGAAGAGTTGGATGGCGGTGAAACATTGCTATGACTGCACACTCCACTATTATGATTATTGCATGTGTAGAAAGCTGTTTGGAACCCAAGGTTCACCACACCCTATACTCACTATACAAAGACGATCATGAACGCAGCACACGCATATTCAATAATCTATGCCTTACATCCTTACATTTTACCCTTTTCTATTTACTACTTACTATTTACCTTTTCGGCATATCAGCATCGGGCCAATCATTCCCGTGTACATGTCAGGTACAATATCAACAGTTGATACATAGGCGTGACCATTGCAAGGTGGTTGGTTCTCCGACGGGACAGCCAACTTTGGAATCTAAAATGAGCCCACAAAAACTAGATTAATTTAATCAGTAATGCTTAAATAAAATTATCCCCACGCTTATAATAGCACAACAAGCGGGAAAATAAAGATAGCTGTGAATGTAGAAGATACTACCGAGTGATCACACTGCAGAAGTTAGGAGCAGTGTTTGGCGTTGAATTTATTCTACTTTAATTAATCGCATAAAATCCGCAACTTCCCAGCGATCGTAAATCTCTAATATATGGGCATTTTGAGGTTTACTCTGTCTGGCCCGCGAAACGTCCGTTTCTAAAAATAAATGAGGTCCTAGTACAACGGTGGGCAAACATCCGCATGCGGCTCTTCTCGCTAGCATTAATTATTATCCAAATTCAACTAAGAGAAACTGTATCAGTTTATTTTTTTAAATTTATTTAGTGGTAGGAGAAATTTTTATTAGCGCTGGGAATGGTCAATCGGTTAAGCGATTTTAGATGGGTAACGGTTATGGTTTATTTTAACCGTTAACTGACATCTCAGGTACAAATCATCTTTATAAAGTACATTTCCTTCAAAAATGATTACGTCATCACAAATTTATCTTCTGTGGCGTTTAGTTCAAAAGAATATCACAAACTGTGTTGGTAAGGACTCAATTAATGTGAAAAATAATTGAAGTACCAAGATTGCTGATTATGCAAAATTTGACAATGATAAATTCAGTTTTCAGTCGAAATATATTGTTCACGATTTTATTGCAAAATCGTAAATCCAACAAGTGCGCAGTTGATGCTGTTTTTCTTTATGATATATATCTCAAAGTAGAATTTGCACATCGAACACTGAAAATTTGTCACATAAATGACATTCAATAACCGAATCGGGTTTTACTAAAATACTACCATATGTTCGAATCACGATGCATATCTCTTGTAGTAGAGCGATCATGAAACTATCTCGATTCGTGAACAACTTTGGGCGATACCGGGATAAGATTAAGCAAAACTTCTTTGTAACCATTGTGACGTAACAAGCTAAAATGATAAATTATTACGTGAAACGTCACGCCGCGGTTAACCGGTTAATTTTACTCGGTTATCGATTAAAGTGTTTTCCCTGAAATTCTGTTTTAGTATGAAAATCGTTGTGGCGTGGAATTTTAATTAGTCAAGCGAAAAATCTTACGTCACAACGGTGAAATGTTTGTCGCTGGCGGCATGCGGTGATAAATAGGATTCACATATTCATCTCGGGGGAGAGGACAGCCGACGCGATGGCCTAATCATATGGCGAAACACGGCCTATCGTCCGGTTACCAATCAATGTCAGATATGGGATTGGTAAGCCAGTTATTTGTTTTCAGATGCATGATGCAGACTTAAAAGTGTAGGAGGCCGTATTCGACCAGCGGTTACGGGAACCACACTACGGCGGCGAGGACTCCAAGAATCTTCTCGTACATAATTAACCCCGCATGGCAGAGATTTATGATATCATTCGGCGAACAATCCGATGCAGCAACTGATGCTAGTTTTTTTTATACCATGGAATACTTCTCGTGCTAAACACCTATTCTCTGACTGTGATTTTGTGAAAAAAATATTGATGATGTTGTCGAAGTCTTCGATCCCAACAACACGAAGCAAGCAATAGCCCAAACGCCGGTTTCGAGCCACACTACACAAAGGCGCATCTCCCAAATTAGTACTAATGTAACAGTTACAATGCAAAATGATCTGATGAGATCGTATAATAATAATTTCAAAAATTATGCGGCTCTCCCTTATTTCTGACGTGGCTCTCAAGTTAAATAATTTTCCCCACCCCTGTTCTAGTATGATACCTCTTTCTAATACTACTTCTCATAAATTTTGCAACAAATCAAACATCAAGTGTACATAGCCTACTAAAGTTGCATGAACATTCAGTGCGAAGAAACAGTGCAAGTCGTATTTATTGACTAACCTCCCAAACGTATGTAACAGTCTCTCCGGTAGAGGGAGCTGCAGCACCATTTTCGTGGAAATGTTCTGGATATAAACCCCATGGTACCATGTTGTATCTTCTGCGTGCCATGTTGCGAAATATTACCTGAATAAGCAACAGAAAACAATTCATAGTAATATGAACATTTGATAACGCAGTGAAGTTATGGGAGCCTGCTATCGACATAGACCTTCGTCGTTTATTTCATACAAAACTCTAAAGTCTAAAATATACTTTAACTATGTCTCCTTCTTCTCCCTTTAGTACTGGTCCCAAGTAACCTAGATGTAATGGTTTTGTTTTCCTCGTTGTGAATGTATCATCTGTGTATTCATGAAATATCGACTTCCAATATTTTGTCCCTACAAAAAAATGGCACAATGGATATAGCTTTCCACATTTTTTAAATTGATATATTAAAACAAATTCGTTAAGTTGAAAAATTCTGCAAAGTTGATGTCTTATCATAGCTCACCGATGGATGACCGATTCTTTTGCTCTGTAAACGCTGACAAATCGTGATCCAGATTTTCTTCCTTCCATGGCATGTAATCCCATATTTCATCAACAGCACCCACGTAATACGTTCTTGTGATTCCATCAGATACATAAGTTTCTTGTTCGGATTGAATCCCGCAGTCTATCACCTAATGTTTAGTAGTATATCTACAGTTATTTAAATGGAAATAACGTATATTTTGGGGTCAATAATTGCAAACCAAATTTTGTTCTTATAAATCTATGTTCGATTAAGAAGCAATAATTTGTTTTTGTATTTTATATAAGTTGACCCTGATAAGAAACCACTCGAACACAAACAGAAGTGACGTTATTGCCGCACATAGAGCTTTATCAAAACTGACGGTAACTTTGATGCATGTGAAATCTGGCTGCGAATTAGAGAACTGTTCTAAAAGTATATCAAGTAGTCAGTCACCCTTTTTCAGTCATACACCAGTTACGCTGCGATTGGGAACGGTGCAATCAGCTTTTCCTAACTAATAGAATAGAACGCTTGAGTATGAATTCATAGAAACGAATGAACTGGAGGGTTGCGATGGATACAGACAATACTCACTGTGTAATTAGTGTACATTCCTCCAAGAAGATGGTCGAATACCGCGCATGATAGTTCCTCGGCACCTAAGGTGTTTGGTTTCACAGTCGTTGAAGCAGTAGTATGGGGAAGAATGCTCAAAACGTTTGTCCACTCGTTTCTAAACATATAGCATATCATATAAAATGCATCAAAATACAAAATAATATTTGCGACGCGTTACCGCTAAATTTTGCACGCTGATAATTATTACATCATGGTCGGCACTGAGGAAAGACTTTTCTCAACATTTGGATAGTGCAATCAAACGTGTATTCTCTTACCTGGTGGTTACATTTTAAAAACATATTTCTGTTGGAAATCACGAAACAAAACATTTGCACCTGTATTTAAACAGTAGTCCTCCCAAATACATTGAATGCATATCAACCTCTGTCCCAAGTCCTATCACATGAATATCAGTCTCCGAGTATTGACAAAAATTCACTTCTAAACTTCCGTACATCAAACCATTAATCGCTAGAAGTAATCGAAAATATATCGGTGTTATTATTACAAAATATTTGGATCACTATCATTATTTAACTATATAGACTACATTAATTAACAGGATAAAAGCGCAATTTTACATACATTACAGTTATATTAGTTGAATATTATCCTTACCAATTGTTTCCTTACAGAACTAAATTTTCTGAACTAAAATCAAGTTCGCTTTTATCATGATGCAGGAATAATGCGAATGAGGACTAAACAGCCAAGCAACAAAATTCTAGTGCATATTCTGTATAACAAAGGTTCTGTTCAAAGAGGCTAATTTCGGGCTTGCCTCATTTCGGTTTCACACATTGACATTCAATTCTATTCAAACTTTTCGGCGTTATCATTTTATTGTACATGTTTTTATAGCCAAACAATTGATGCACAAATACAATGCCTATATGATTTTTTTTATCCATCTACACATGGTGATGTGGTGTGTTTTAATAACTAATATTCGCTACAAAGTTTTCAATTTTAAATGGGTATCAATTTCAACTGCAAAATTACCCGTTTTGAAGATTCGAGAGATATAAATTTACGTAAAATATAACGGACAGTTGATGCCGTAGGCAAGTTTTCTCGCGGCGAATATGTGTTATATGATATTATATTTGTAATATTTTACATTGTTTCCAAAATCTTCAAATTTAGCTTCGTCATTATTTATCAAACTTGGGAAATCAAAGATATCTGTCTACATTTGTCATGCACCTACCATGCATCAAGTTGGATTCTTGGAAGTCCCCATTATCTTTGTCGACCAATTCTGGATTTAAAGTAAATCTTTGTATATTTTCGTCGAGATAATGGCTTAGGTTTTCATCAAATACCGTGAATAAAAGATATTGAGATTTTCTCCTCAAATTCCTTGCAAGAGTTCCTATAAAATAACATAGATTTTATGTCATGATTATCTGCAACTAATGTGTTTAAATTTTCATTTTATGTAAATTTACGGTGTTTTTTGGTGTTTTTGTCAACTTTTGGTATGGCAAAAGCATAGCATGACGTAGAATATTTACCTCTCCGACAAACTAGCAATGGACCAACTAGACCCGAGTTGGTGTCTTTTGCAGGATGAACAGAGGAAAAGTACAGATAAAATAAGCAATCTCCATCTACATCTGTAGGGGAAACACTTTCCGGAATTGTCCTATTAAAAAAGGGAACAATATGTATATATATATATAATATGTAGGCAGCATCAAAACGTATTTTATATCGCATTGTCGTTTAAATTTCTGGCAACATCATGCCAAGATGTATAAAATATATCATTGAATAACATTGGACCTACCATTTGTAAGTGTGAATTTGTCCCGGTCCCAAAGAAGTAACGTCAGTGAAAAATACTCCGTGTGGTTCAATGTTATAAGCCTAAAAAGATACCAACAGATGATAAAATTCAAGTGTTGGATAAAAAGCGGAAGTCAAAAAAGTTCAGGACAATTTTTTAATTTATAGCAGAGTACACCGCAAGTAAACAACATCATCGAATATACTAAATAACAACATGGCATCAAACGCGACATCGGTGATAATTACATCTCACGAAATACCAGTCATTTGTCACCAGAACACGAATGGACTATTCACCAATAGATAATTTGTACGATTCGCATTGAATATATAAGTTTTTCTAATTGCTGATAAGCTGATCCATACTTTGCTATTGTTATATATTCAATCGGAAAACACTTGTCAACGCATTTCTATCCTTTAAATTACCTGTTTGTTAGCAAAGTTTTTAAGCGTTACGTGAACAGTTTCGCCAATTTCTGCTGCAATAAGGGGGCCCAGGATTCCAAATGACGAAGGCTTCTCTTTCTTGGCTAAGAGTTCTGACGTTTCATATTCATAGAAAATTGCTTTTTTGTAGACACCTCCAATCCGCTCTGGGCCCCGTTTGAAGAAAGTCTCGGAGTCACTTTAGTGTGAAAAAGAAGAGGGCTTTTTACTAAGGAATAGTTTTGTTCATATTCATTGAATACTTCTTGATATGCGGGGTTTCATGCCGACATATTGCCTAATTTGAATGCATTAATAATATATATATATATATATAGTATAGTGATATTTTTAATACCTAATTTATAAAAAAATATAATATATATATATAATAAATGTACCGATAAAAATATAAAACGCGATGTACTGAGTACAAGTGTGCAGGATAGTTAGGACGAAATATTGAATATTAATAGATGCGATACTAGTTTTAAGATTTCATGCGAAAATTTACCGATACTATAACTAGAATTCGGTTGGAAACCGAAGACTTATCGATCGAAGGTTAGGGGATCCCCCAAAACAGTGGTCTTACTCCATAGTGACACCGTGTGTCCCATCACTAATTAATTAATAACTCGCTAATTATACGACATAATCCATCCAAAATCAATAGGCTACTGATACGAGCTAAGATGAATGCACATGCAAAATTTGGAGCAGATTGAACCTCGCTTCCGTGAGATATCGCGTGCATCTAACACACAGACATACATACAAATACCTATCAACATACTTACCGATCAAGATCGATAAGTAACTAGAATGCACTTCATTTTTTTTATAAACTACTTATATTAACATATCCGAATAATTTGAGGTATTTCTAAAATGGCAGAAGTATAATTCTAGGCCATTTTAATGGAGATTTTAGTTTAATATTCTCAGAAATTGATTACTCACGAACTGTTTGAAAGTAATGAGTGTCCTTTGGTATCCATACCAAGTGGGCCATAATTCCAATCTTTTTCGACTATACCAATGTAATAATTCCGAACATTTCCTGTGAAGTCATAATTTTTCTGATCGCGGCCACATTTATCGACGATCAATATAGATGACATTCCAGCTGATACATAATAAAGTTTTTATATCAATTTTTGTCTCGTGATATATTGCGATTGATTTCCTTGTTCTGTTTTGGGGAAGTATAATTTAGAACAAAATGCCAATATTCCGATTATTTTTGTTTTGAAGCCGGCGCAGACTGAAATGTGTCCAATCATTGGTGTATGTTTATATATGGAGAAAAATAGTGCAGCGATCAAATACTACAAGTTTGTACTATGTGTCTGAAGTACGGACTATCTGAAAATTCATAATACCTAAATATTCAGTACATATTTTTATGTTTGTTCAATGTGTAAACTGACTACTTCTGCGGTGTTTTCTTTGTGTTTAGAGGTAAACGCGAGTACATGCATTATCACTAGGGCTGGGCATTTCGAATCGAATATTCGAATCGAATCGAATAGTAAATTATTCGAATCGGTTCAGAGCTAAATTTCGAATCGCCGCCATCTTGTTTTTATCTTTCCGCTAATGGTCGAAGTGAATTCCCCAATTTTTTTTTCATTGGAGTCATATTTTTTTCAACGAAATTCTAACATATGACTATTTTCGGTAGTGAGTTATTGATAAAACGTGTTTGTTATTCTGTGTGAGCGCTCAGTAATCTATCTGGGTGATTTATTCTATGTCTTCGGTAATTCATTTGTTGAGAGGTACAATTACTATAATAAAATCGCTTACAATTATATATTTTCAAGTATTCGAGATCCGATTCGATTCGATTCTGAAATCACAAGGTATTCGAAAATGCCCAGCCCTAATTATCACACAAGCACTAAGTTTACAACCCGATTATATGAATAAACAACTGATGTTGCCGTATTATTCTGTGGCACTATTTAAGCTTGCAGAAGTGCATTGAGGCATTGACGCCTTATCGAAAGTCTGAACAACTTTCCGTTCATTTTTACCTTTGATGATTTATTGCGCGGCTCGGATACGGATTACATTCATTTTTTATTATGCGATCGAAAAAATAAGCAATAGTTACGACATCAATATTATATTTAATATCAATCACCGAGTGAACCATTGAGATGAGCCACGCCACGTACAACTTACCTGATAGGTGATCGTTTATTTCACAGAGTAATTTGAACTTCCCAGCATGATCGGCAGCCATTATCGCGGTAGTAAACACTCCAGGAAATATATTTAGTGTATCTTGCCTGTGACCTTGAGATATTATCTGTAAAGTATTCGAAGTATATACTAGATGCAATGAAGTAGGGAATATTGCTTTAGTTCAGACTAGTAATTTGTCAATGTGTTTAGAGGCTTGATTAACTAACCATATATATATATATGTTAAATAGAACATCATTGAAACATATTCAGGCCAAACTTATTTGGAAATGATCACACTTCTGGTCTGTAGTAGTTATTTCAGTTCTTCCCAGGACAAGAAATTCGTGTAATTAATAAGGCTAAAGTAAACTTACCGTTTGTCCCTGAAAATGCACGGTATGTAAGTCAACCTCAGTCCCAACGCCAAATAAATGCAGACCAACGCGATCTCCCTGGCATATAAACAGACCACCCAAATTTCCGTACATTTTTCCATTGATTCCGTGCATTTTATTACTTTCTTGAAAATCTTCATCGTCAATAACAACTGACGCTGGCTCAGATGCGTACGCCTAAAGAAAAAGAAATCCTTTGTCATGCACAATTATGTACCAACATATTTATGTATGTTGGGTCAGTTCGATTGATCGAAATCATCATGCAAAAGATCTTTCGTGTAGGCGGACATTTTACCTGTATATTTTCGTTAAGATACCAACTTTCGTTTTCATCAAAAACAGTAAAAAGTAGAAACATTTCACGGTCAACGTCTAGTCGTCTCCCGCCTTCCCCAAGTGAACCTGAAACATAAATCTGGTATCTTTGCTAAATGAATAAAAAATGGATTTTTATTCGATAACTTTGGATCTGTTTATGTACATTCAATGTTAAATAAAGTATTCTTCAGTGAAAATTTAAATTATGTAAAAGGACGTCTTGAATAACTTTACAATATTTTACAAAAATGGATTCACCTGCCATTTATATTTTTTGATCAGAGGTAGAAATATATGCAAAGTATTTCAAATTGATTTCTAAAAGACAGCCCTGATGTCACAGCCCTGATTGGTATGCAACATGACGGCTTCCGAATACGGCACAAGAAACCACTCTTTTTATGAGATGTTTTCTGTCTCGCTGCTTAGCTCCATTGGTGTTCCAATTTTATTTAGATTTAGGGGTTGTCAATGTAATGTTCTTACCGCTTCTACATATTAATATCGGCCCAACCAGTCCCGAATTGGTATCTTTATCTGATTGGACATGAGAATGATATGCCCAGGTAATACAATCAGGATCGTCCTTGGTCGGCCCAAACCTGTCAGAAGGAGTGACATGAGAGAATGCCTCAAATAACTAGTGAAATATTTATCAAATTCATCAGTTCCAGTAGTGGGATTCAGGGGGTTCGCGCGTTGGAATATAACTCGTTGTTTGAATATGGCGATAATTAGCTCACCCTTTTCTGATTTTGTTTCAGACTTAAAACAACCGCAGCATTATTTGGCGTTTTAAAGTCATGTATGATATTCATGTAAACATTGTAAAGCATGTCGTATTATTACAGCTTGCGTACTGATATACATTTATTTCCTGAAATGAAGGAACCTGTTGTCAGTGAATTCGATTAAAAAGCGAACCTGTTGTTGAAATTTCAAATCTCCGCACTGGTTTCATTATTGTAATCTATATTTGCGGATAAGTTTGGAAAACGCTATGTATTGAATAAGCTGTTCATGCGATGAGTTTTTGCACAAGAGACTGGCTGTGTTAAAATCACCCATAAAGGCGAGCCGTAACATTTATGGTCAACGATACTTCTCGCATAGTGTGAATAAAACTCAAATTCCACTATATTACGCACGATTCTGTCACGTTCCATTGATATATAAACATATCCCCAGGGCGAATCTTTTCTCCCATTTTGTTAACTGCTGCGACCCTGTCATAATAAACAGCTCCTTCGTCGGTTTTGTTGTAAAACACGCCATGTGGATGCATACTGTATTCACGGAATGCGTTATTCTTGACGTGTACAATCATCAAATCACCAACCTATAGGATTAAATATCTTAGTGAGATGCTTTTTAATCCTTTTCTCTTTTAACAAGTACTTTGTACATACTGATTTATCAGGAGGGGCAATTCATCGAAGCACCTTTATTACTATAGATAGGCACTGCCAGCCAATTTATTACACCCTGGTTGAGATGGGAGACTTGAACCTGAAATGTGTATCCTACGGTGTCAACATAATATAGACTAGATTTTGAAATAAATAATAAAATATAGGAAAGATTCGAGTGGAAGAGTCGAATAGTACCGCGTATTTGTGCAATGGAAATCTACGCCACGACTTTGCAATTTTAATCATTTTAGGGTACGTCTGGTGTTTTTGGGAACCCATCATTATTTACCTCGGCTCTGAGTGGCGGGCCAATGATTCCCCAGTGTTCTTCTCTTGGACTTTTGGTAGAAAATGTTGTATCTTCATATTCGCGGAATACAGCTTTTTTATAAACCCGGCCGATTCGTGTCCTGCCAGAACTTGTGAAAACTGACGCATCCCTTGAGAGGAATGCATTTCGATATAAAAATGAGCGAATTAAACATAGCCTGGATATTACGTTTATATATACGTTTAAATAAGCACTGCATTACACAGTAAAAGTTGGGGGTTTTGAATTTAAGATTCATTCAATTCAGTGCATCAAATTTCCGAGAAATTCTCTGGAACAGTTGATGAAATTCAAATACAGTTACAAGACGTATGGAAGAAATTGGCAGCAACATATGTTTTTGTTGCATGGGATTATACTGTCAGTGTCAAGCCTGCCATATATAAAGGTGGTAATAAGCAAAGTAATTCCGACACGTACGAGACTGTAGGTCAATAACCCCATTATTAAAACTCACTCATCGTCATCCAGCATAACTCCCTCTTTCGCTTTTTTACCAGAAGGTGCATAATCCCATTCAATTTCTTCAATTGCCACATAGTAAATTCTAGCAATGCAATGTGCAGTGTGGGATGATATGAATGCCAATAAAATTGCGAAGACAAAATTGGGTTTAAACATGACTAAATTTTTATCTTAATGAAAATCAGTAGCAAGCAAATATAATTATTACTACAATCGTTAAAATATATACAGTTACGGGCAGAGAATGTAATGACTTGTTTGATTTTTCTCCCACAATTCGACTAAAAATAATCTAGGACAGTAGCGCACTCTTATAAAAAACAATATTCTCTTATCGCTGAAAAAGGGGCAAGCAAAAACAACAATATTATGGATATTTTACGCGATGGCAAATCGAGCTCTGGCTGTAAGAAATTCATAACTTGTGGCAGTTCTTTCTAATTATGGAAATTGCAATCTGTGCCATCCTTACTGGGCGAAATCGGTAAAGTTCTGTACAATGCTTCATCATTCTTACTGAATTGAACGTTTGAAGACCATTTTTTTGTGCTAAAAATAAAACAGGTATCTCTTCTCTCATCATATAATCCAGACGGCGTTTGCAAGATTGTCCGTTTATTAAAACATAAATAGTATAACCTTGCACTTGTCGACATGTAACGCGACAAAATTGGTTTTTTAAAAAAACGCGCGATTCTTCTTTTGCGCGAATTTGCCTCGTTCGATGAAATTAAGTTCAATTTGATACGCTATATAACCACAATACTTTCTGCCAGCAATTGTCGCCGCCTTCTCACAGGGCATTGTGGACCGTTCCTGGATAAGTAGATTTCATCGCCAGCGACGAATAATCAAACATGAGTCAAAGTCAAACACGCATGAGACAAAGCCGAGAAACCCGGCAAAACCTCTAATAAATTTTAAGACATTCCTGATAACCATTTACGTCATTCCTGTAGTGATCAACAGTGCTTGTTCTGCATTGTCGGATATGTTTGACAGCTAGCCAACCCCTACTATTAAAGATAATGCCTCAAGCGACAGAACCGCGTAGACGTACTATTTTCAGCTTGCACGGTCATCGTATTGCGCCAAAGCGATAGAAACTGGAAAATTGTCGAACGGCGCACTCAATATTGCTTACTCCGCCTCAAATTTTTTTGTTTGGCTTCAATAACTGAGAAATATAGGATGCAATTTGAAACCATAGGAGCTTCCGAAACATCGCTTCGAGCATTACCACGGTATCGATAGGCGGCATGTTCCAATCCAATCGGTTGTTGTTTTCCGAATACCAATAGAAATTAGGCAATCAAAGTCAATTTCGATGACTGAGCATATTATCTTTTTCGCTGGGAATAAAACATCAGCTCCTGGCGTGAGTGCATTAATGAAATATACAGTACAGTTTACGATTTATATCCATCTTTTTATATTGCCTCAAACAATTCTGACACTTCATTCGCCGCGTAAATAAAATAGTCAAAAGCCTCTGAAGACATTCGGTAGTCCTGCATACTGACCTACACGAAACAATGTGTACATTGGATATTGAATTTTTATTAAAAAAAATTACGATATTGAATTTTAACAATGGACATAAAATCTCCCCCTCTCTCTCTCAACGACTGGCCAGGTGACCTAAAACCTGGGTATAATTTTGTTCAACGCCATTTAATGTCATATTGATTATAATTGTTTATTGCCTTAATGTGCAATAAATAATAATGGCAATAAATTAGCATGCAAAATGCTATTTCGAATACCCGAATTAGACGTAACCGAAATGAACATGCAGCATAAAAACGTAAACGATTAGAGGAATCAAAAAATAATACCACAAATTGCATAAACATTTTAAACGTGAATATCGGTCAGAGACCGAAGACTTATCGATCGAAAGTTAGGGGATCCCTCAAAACAGCGCTCTTACTCCATAGTGACACCTTGTGTCCCATCACTAATTAATTAATACCTCGCTAATTATACGACATAATTATTTCATAATCAATAGGCTTCTGATCCGAGATAGATGAATGCATATGCAAAATTTGGAGCGGATTCATCCTCGCTTTCGTGAGATATCGCGTGTATCTAACAGACAAACAAACAGACAAATACCTATCAACATACTTACCGATCTTAAGATCGATAAGTAATTATATACCTATCAATTTAGTCAGTACCTCAGTTACGTTTGGACGGCAGAGGACCAAGTTTGATGAATCTATATGTTGTGGAATAGCCACCACCACATTGAAATATAACTCGAAATTATATGCCTTATACAGCAGAGATTTATAAGAGCTATCAAGCAATAAAAGGGAAATTGCATTTTATTATTAAAAGGCACTCTGAATAAAATTATAGGAAAATAATACCCGAACACCCATCACAATATGATATTACATTGAAAGAAACGAAATACATAGAAGCAAGAATAGGTAATATAGAAAACCAAAACCAAGGCAAATACTATTTAAGACACTGTTATTGTACTAAAAACTATCAATAAAAAAGCAGCAGGCAGAATGTGTACCTGAGTGATTACAAGGTGTATTCTGACTTCTAAGCAACATGATTTTTAAAGTCCAATAAAAATAATATAAAAAACGACACAATGGTCTTATTGACAACTCCTATTTCATGACAGAGCATTTTTATACATGAGTTATAATAAAACAACAAAGGGTAAATTAAAATATAAAATATGTAATGAAAGTTTATGATTGTTTATTAATTTGATCAGCATAGTATTTAGTGAACAAATTCATTGAAATTATACAAGTATTGCACAAAAAAATTAGTACCTAATCGGCGGAGATAAACATATTTCACAGTATCTTTATTAGTGTAATATTACAATAACAATGTTTAAGAAATTGTGTGCAATTGAATAGTTCTATTTTGAATGATAATTGAGAGATGACAGTAAACAGTCGATTTGAATCATATGTATGCGACTACTGAGTAACAGTTAAGAAGTATCAGGTCTGGGTAAGAGTTGAGAATTTCCACTTATATCACAAATAATACTAAATACTTCATTTCTTAAAAAATCAAGAATAATTGCCACATGGCTTATAATCTTGAGGTATGGTCCGTTTTTAATTAGTTGAAAACGACACAGCCTGGTATTAGAGATGATGTTGGCAAAAATACTTTTAAAAACTTTTATCAGAATAGTTTTAATCAATGTGTTCAAGAGTGAAATTGGATCGAAAAAGTCATGAAATTTGAATAAATAAATATGGGAAGATTGTATATAAAATATACTGGAGAGTCGAGATTAAAAAAATGAAAAAGTGAAATAAAAAGAAAAACACCAAAGGCAAACAAATATGCATAATTAATCTAAATATACATGTTATAGGTAAAGTGACATATTTAAAATCCATAGCAGTATATGGTTAATCAAAAAAATCTATAGAGTATCCTAGATGAGAAATTCACCCTATTCAAAAATGGACTGCCTCTTAACTACATGGGATTAATAGTACGACTATTGTAATTGTCAAAATTCACCTGAATATAATCCACAAAGATATCGCAACTACAACACAAACTATCATGTTGTAATTGACAACCTTCCTCCAGAAAGGGTCTTCCTCTAACGATTGAATCGCAGATGCATTTTCATTGGTGACCTCTACTGATTTTTTACTACTGTCTAAACCGCATATGAATATCGCAACCTTCTTCCAGATGGGGATATCAACTGTAAGTTTATTATAAATATTAGTAGCAGGCATAGTTTCAAATGTATAAATCTCACTGCAAAAAATTTGACTAATGTGTTATTGTGTATGTCAGTTTTATGAAAGATGTGGTGTGGCGCGGCAAGCTAGGAGTTAGAAATATGCTTGCCTCTGATTACCCTGCGTGGGTTCCCAGGGTCAAATCTCTCGAGGGATAAATAAGTGCGAGAGGATTGCTAGACTACTCTCTGGCATAGGGCGCTTTAAATAACCGCTCGTTGGTTATGGCTTCCCTGACCATCAAGTCTAGCATCTGAACTCAAAATAACTGGCTTAATTAATCCCATACTCGACATGGGCTGGTAATTGGAAGAGAAGCCATATGATCAAGCAGCCGTCTTAACGGCTTTCCTCTTCCCCCGGATAAATATGTAATCCTATCCTATCATGTAAAATATATACATTTCCCATATTGAGAACAATGGAAAGGCTTACGATACATATTGTGGCTTACAAAAAGTTACAAAATATTAGAGAGGGAAAGCAGATACTTGTGCAAAGCCTGGTGGAGTGAACAAAAAAATAACACATTGAAGCCACATGATAAAATATAAATTCTTTTTCATATATATTATTATTTTTTCAACTAACCTTTATTACTCAATTCAAAATTACTCTCACTTGCTGGTTCATTGCTTGTAGGCGTTCTAGAGTGTTCATTAATTTGAACATTTTTACCATCGTAAGTAACACTGCTAACAGCCGGTAATGAGAATCTTGGAATAATGCTTGGGCGACCCAAATCTACAAGAATTGAAGAAAAATAAGTCACAGTTGAAATTATTTCAACAGTGATTCAAAAAGGCTATATAGTACATGAGCTAGATAAGCTAATATGCTTGGAAAAAATTGTTTACTACAGTCCCATAACAAAAAAATATAACTAATAAATTAAAAGTTGTAGTTGTTCTTATTGGCAGGAAAGAAACACATGTGGGACTACAATTGATCAAAACTGACAAACACTTAAACAAGAGATTTCAATGTGATCTGGGTTAAAGCAAAAATGTCTTTAGATAAATTCTAATAGCACAACAATGTCTTCATCTAACCATTGTCATCCAAGTGCTGAGAAAATTCCTCTTCATTATCAACAGATAGTTGAGGAGAAAAATCGTTATATCGTTGACAAATCTCATCCTGAGTCACTAGAGCTGATTTCTCAGTTTTCAAAGCTGTAGTTTTTACATCATGTCTTGTCCACCATGTTAATCCACCATACTGAAAAGTAAACACTTGTTGAGTGACCAGATGCATGTCATAAAGAAGGCCACAGAGTCTGTAGACTTTTGGGAGAAACTGCCCTTGCAAGAGTGAACCTTCGCAAAAATGCAACTTGTGAGTGACAACAATTTTGCATCTGAATGATGTGTCATGAATAATGAATTGCTTCAATAGTGCAAATGTTTCTATAAAGCAGATTAAATTAGCTTTTTAGATTTTATTCCAAAAAATTCTGATTTCAAATCAACTCCTACCTCACTCGCTGGTCGGGCAGGAGAACAGATGCTCACAAGTACAATAATAATTGCAGTCAGAAGAGCTAGTATGACAGCAAAATGTAGGTAATGAACATTCTTGACAACACTAGGCCGATCATCAATTGTACCGCAAGGTGGAGGAGGATATACAAAATCCAATATCATTTTAATACTGCCAATTATGATTCCAGTGAACAAGCCCCAGAAAGCTCCCTGAGAATATAGGAATATAGATACGCTTTGAAAGGATGTATATGAATATAAAAAAAGAATAGTTATTTTCTGAATTATGAAATCATTAGTATAAAAATTTGCGTGTATGCAATTGCAAACAATCAAACCAAGTGAAATATGGATATCTAATTTTGCTAGACTCAACAAATAAGAAACCTTTATACAAATAGCGGTTTCAAATTGAAATATATTAGAAATAAATACTGTCATCCAGTTTAGTTTTTTATGTACCTGTTCATTTGTTCTTCTCCAAAATACAGCTAAAAGAAAACAAATAGCGACCGGAGGTTGAAAGTAAGAACTGACTTTTTGTATGTATGTAAATAACTGTCCTCCTTCTTGTGCTTGAATAACAGGGATCCATAGCACACTCAGTATGACAAGAAATATAATGAAAACTCTGAAAAAATACAGTGTGATATATTATTGTTTCAGATTATATTTTTTAAAAGAAAATAAGCCATGAGCAGTAGCAGAGAATTAGTGTTAAATAATTGCTATTGTAACAAATTGTATCAAAAGTAGAATGAAACCGAAAAAGTAACAATTCCTCATGCAGTAATGACAACTAAAGCAATACATGTAAAAACCCATGGCATTCTTTAATTAAGTGTATGAATTTTCTCTGTCTGAGATTATGCACAGCTTTTGATCAATTTCATAACAGTCTTTGGAAAATTTCAGTGGCATGTACACAGTTTCTAATATACTGATTAAACAAGGTCTTGGAAGAACAATCCCTCGAGCAGTACTACCAACTAACACAAACTATGTGAAATTCATGCGGCAATCCATCAATAAATTCCAGCTTCAACTTGATTTGATTATATGGTAATTTGCAAATTTAGGGAATGTGTAGTTATTCTTTTGAATTTACCTTCCGACAATCATCAGTTCTCTTTCCGATGCTTTCGATCTTGCTCTTTGCCAAAGATCAATTGTGAACAAGGTCGAGCTTGAATTGAAAATTGAAGTCAATGAACTCATCAGCGCAGCAAGTATGACAGACATCATCAATCCTCGAGCACCTGGTGTTTCATAAATAGAGCAATATCACTGTCATTATACAGTAACTTAGTACATTTATTTTGTTCAATGCTTCAATACTTTTGAAACACACACAGACACCATTTGAACTTACTGACACAAAGAAACTAAACTAATGCATTTTTTCTAATTTTATGGGGAGAATATTTTATATGTTCTTCAAAAATTATAATGATATGTATCGGATGCGTGATATACCAAGTCACACATAAAATGACAATCTAGAAGAGTTGTTTGACTTCAAATCCCAAACTGTCTACAAGCTATTTCTCTTGTATGCTGTCATGCTTACCTATTGGCAAAAACTCCATAACCATCTTTGGATAAGCAATATCAGAACAAGAAGTTGGATTTCCACAAACTTTTTGGCATATTTCTGGTACTACACATCCTACTTGTTCTGAAATAAAATATTCAGTTCAATCACCGATATTACCGCTTCTACTTACGACTCGAGAAAATGACCTTGGAAATAATGAACGAATACTTGAATAAAAACAAAACAACATGAACTGTCTGATAGTTGGACTTAAGCGAGACGACGTTCCAGTTGTTTTATGTTTATTATGAATTTCAATTCTTTGAGTTTTTTGCTCTTACTGAAATTTCAAATTCAGATATGATTAAAGAAAAAACTTAATTGATTGCATATTGCAGAATCGTTGTATGTACATTTTCCAGTATACAAACAAAGCTCCATTTTATCTTTTTAAAACCCAATGCCGGATTATTTCACAGTTATGATTAAAATAAAAACCTGGAAATTTTGCTCTACTGATCATCCCCACCATCACCATCAGAAACATGGGTAATATTTTAAGATAACTACAAAGTAGGGCTCCTCCTTTAGCATGTGTTAAGTTTTTGGCAGCCAGTGTTCTTTGAACAATCACCTGCAATGATATGAAAAAGGAATATCTCAACTTTTCCAATTTCTGTATAAAGTTAGGATAAGATTTTCATATTTATTTCGGGGGAGAGTAATGGCGATGAAATGGCTTAATTGTATGGTGCACCACAGCCTTCCATCTGATTTACCATGATGTCGAACATGAGATTGGTTGTCTAGTAAGTTTCAACCGACCAGCGGTTCCGTGAACCATGCTACAGCGGTGAGGAGTTCAGCAATCCGCCTGTACATAATTATCTCTCACAGGATTCAAACCTGGGAACTCATACAGGGAATCAGAAGTGCGATATCAAACATATTTGTAATGTTTGGCATGATGCGCCAAATGCTGAGCCGAAATAGAAATATTAGAAAGTTATGAATAAATAACTCCAAAGTACCTGGTCACTACACCAATACCATATTGAAAGTATTGGCATTCCCAACACAACACCAGTCCAAGGAAAATCTTCATCAGTCACTTCACGAAATACATGAAATGAATCGTTGAGAGGGATGCCACACTCTGGGTGTTCCAAGAGTGTGTATGTAGGCGTAGCTTTCATGTACTCAGTGACGAGTCCAAAGTAGCCTCCTACATTAACGAATCCTGAGAATAAGCATAATACATTGAGTTTATAACATCATCTAGAAAAGCAAAATAACACAATAACTTGTCAACTTAACACTACAGGTTTAGTTGTTGGTTGTGGGCAACATCACAGTATTAGGCAATTATTTCTAAATGCCATGTTGGTTTTGTCCTGAAATTAACTTATTTCAATAGGGCCATATGTAATATAGTATACTATGCCAGCGTTTCCCAAACTGTGTTCCGCGGAACACTAGTGTCCCGCGAGCGTCTTCCGAGTGTTCCGTGGAAAATAAATCAAAAATACGTCTAAATGGGTCGCCATGGCGATCTGGGGATCGTGAAGTTGTTGCCCAACTGCTGTTCAATTTCAATATCGTGTCACCGTTGGCCTAAAGCGGACTAACTAAGGTAGGGTAGAGGCATATTCGTTAACCGTCGGCCTAGCCTGTTGACTGTCAAGTTCATTATCAAGTTTGCAGCAATCCTTTTGGTTTTGCTATAGGCAAACAGGTAGGTCTTAATACGAATAAAGGCAAATGGTCAACTCTTCTTCTGTCCTCTCTGTCTGATTTTACTTTGAAATGCTGAAAAATTTACTCATGTTCGCTAAACTCGATTCAGCAGATCAATAAACTGCAGCTCGCGAAGTTGCAGAAAGAACGTCTATCTCCATTAGACGTAACATTATAGAGGCAAACACTACGATATAGAAAGGTAAAAAAAATTTGTTGATTCATATACACAGCATTCAAATTGAGAAACAATAAAACATTTATAATAAATGAAATATGTAAAATATTCAATCATATTTTTGGTATGTTCAACATATTTCTGTTAGTTTTTGCGTCGCATTTGGCAACTCGCCACGACGAACCCATTGGGAACCGCTACATTACACCGTTTTTTCTTATCAATTTTACCCTTTCATTTTTTAGTGTTCCGCGAGGCGAGATAAAAAGTGTAAGTGTTCCGTGGCCGGAAAAGTTTGGGAAACGCTGCACTATGCTATTGCCGATATATGCATTGGTTCAAATTTTTATTGCTATTTTCAGTTTATAGCCTATCCATTCTCATGATTCAGTCCAGTCTCTAATCCCCATGTTTGGTTTGACATTAACTGGGTTAGATGGTCTTTATATGTTGAATAGTAAACAAATGATCATTACCTAAAAAAAAGTCAAAAAGTTTGGATTTCAAATTCAATTGGAATTCGAAAATATCTATTTCTGATTTTAGTCTTTATATTTTTACAACGAATAATACAGAATGTCTTTTCCCACGCAGAAATCCTTCAACAAACACTAACATACCAACAATCATGAGAACAACTGCACCAAGCAACATAATTCCGGTTTGTAATGTATCAGTGTATATCACTGCAGCTAAGCCACCTGAAAGCATGAGATTGATAAAATGAGAAATTAAAGGAAATGTAGCTTGACTGATGGTTGTGGAATCCAACAAAAATAGTCAGCACATAGTGCAGGAATGTATCCTACGCATGATATATGGTGGAGACTGGCAAATCAAATTGCAGTCTCGTCAACAAAATTCATATATAAATTTTCTCACGACTCCACTATTTGAATAAACTGCCAATTATATATGAGTGGACTGTGGAGCATTTAACTGTTTTTAGTGTCTGTCTTCAACTGCTAACATTCTGAACTGAACTGAAAATTTGCAGTTCGAATAAGTTCGGTGCCAAGTTCGGCTCGACACGGCTGTTCGAGATTCTCTCCGAATCTGTTTGCGTACCGCAGCAATTTTGACTTGAATTTTTGGTCCATTACAAATTATTCAATGAATATACCTTTGAGTTGGACATAAGTCCCAAAACGCAACAGCCAAATCTCAGTAAAACATTATTTACCGAACCATGAGTAGTTTTGTGACCCTCACAGAATCTTGATTCTTTCTTCAGATAAACATCAAACAAATAATAAAAGCAACCAAGTAGAAAATGATTCATGAACCTACCTCCAATGGTATAGAATGCAGTGATAACCAGCAAACCAATTACACTCGGATATAAATCCCATTTTAGTGCCTCATGAATAAATATTGCTCCAGCATATAGGTCAACCTTAAAAATATTTAAAAAAAATCATGAGTACAATTGAAAAACACATGATACTGAGAGATAACACTCTTTCTGCACAGATATCTAAAAAATTGTGAACAGCCTAATTGCTTGTTTATATAACATCAATTCAATATGTTTTTGCTGAGATTAAAATTAGAAAATTATTATTGAAAATTGAGCAATGATTCATTTAAAATAAACTATTGCACTCAGATCTGGTTTTCGAAGGATTTTTAACACTGCAGTAAAATTGAACTTTATTTGAATATGAATATGTACCCGGAATATGTATCTTGCGGTAAAATTCAAATGTGTCTAAATTAATATACAAAAAATATTACCGCAATCTTTGTAAATATATATATGAATAGATAAAGCAATGCGATGCAGACTTGTAGCCTTTGTCCGCCAAATCTTTTCTTCAAATACTCAGGCATTGTTACCACCTAATATGGAGAGGAATTGAGAGCTTAGTAATTGGGTTACAAAAGTTTGCATGCAGAGGCAGTCACTAATAAACAACAAAGACCTCGAAAGAAGAAGAGAGAAAAATAATAGATCCTATGGAGTACCTCATTGTGGAGAGCATTTGTCATACTCATAATTAAGAAAACTGTTAAAAAAATAGTCAGGAACAAAGCCAACTGGCAGACTCAAACAAATTATCAAGAACAAATCGAGTTTTCTACATCACTATTTCTAATCCTGTATCTGATTGACTGAGTGGTTTTATCAAATTCCAGCGAACGAGCGATTATCTATACTTTTGTTAGCCACCTGTGACATAACCAAAGAAGGATATGTCTAAATGAACAATACAATCTGATTATCTGAAGACACTTGATAACATGCAACACCTAACAAATATAATATGCTTACCCCAGATGCAATGTAAACCGGTAAAAATACCCATGCAAGAAGTAGAACGATGAACATAGCCTAAGAAAATAAGAAAAGATTATGAATTATGGCATGTTTCCCAAATCAGACAAAATACATTTATTGATTTCTAAATTCATAGAAAATTGAATATCATATTGCAGGACAGAATAATTCACTATTCAAAACACATTTTGAATTATTTTTTTCAAATAAGATATATCAAATATATGTTGAAATAAAATTGGGAAATTGAAGCAACCCTTAGTGTCAGAAGAATTTGCCAACAATAAACAAAGGAATAACTGTTGCCCCCAGTCCGGCTATTAAAAATCAATGATCTTTTCAATTTTTCAGAATGTTCAATTTTTTCCTTCCTTGATAATAGTATGAAAAGAATGTGCAGTAATTTAAGATTGTATCTGAATGCATTTCAATTATGAGCAAGACCCATTTGTATTAGATCAAATAACAGGTCCAATCCAAGACCAGTCAACAGTTTAAGGCAGTGGTACCAAAAAATTTTGTTGTTTTTCTGTTAGCACAACTGCTTGGCTAACAAAAAGGCAGAGCTGGTTCAAGCAATATGGGCTCAAATTACATGTGAAATAATTATGTGTAACAGGATTGGAAGTTGGTTTCATTCACATCCTAGTTTGAGGCTTGAACATAATTGACCGCTAACGCAATGACGCTGCAGTTGCAATAGTTCACATACAATAAACCTACCGTTTTCCATCTGTGAAGGCTAGAAATCAAGACGAAGTGTGTTACAGACTTGCAGGCATCGCTAAGATTTAAAGTAGGCCCAGAAAAAGAACATCACAACTTATTTAGCAACATCTCATTGTAATAAACAACTATTGGAAATAACAATAAATGTCTACCATGAAACTTTGCAAGAATGTTTTATCGAAAATCCTGAAGCGAAGCGTATTCGATTGAATTAGGACAACCGAGAGGGCAGTATGATAAAAATCATTCAACAGTATTTCAGAACCAAATGCATGCATCAAATAATTTCTAAACTGGGAACCATATAATAGGTTGGAAAGTTGCATAATTATTGTTGCGAGACAAAGATATATTGTATACCTAATTAAACCATATTACCATCTATCTATGCTTTGGCAAAGAATAAAGGCGAGTTTCTGGGTGACGAAATCTCACCCGATGTCACGCTTGGGTGTTCTAGCAGTGCAGCATTTTTGGTCAACTATCAGATTGCTCTGGTATTGAGTCGTTTATAGAGGTATTATTGTATAAAATATATCCTTTTGTGTATTACACAGGGACAATAGTAATATTTTATGCCAACTTACGTTCCATTCATAAGTGCCAACAGCAATGCCAGTCGCAGCACCAGATCCTGAAAGTCCCACAAAGTGTCCACTTCCTACATTACTCGAGAATAAAGATGCCCCGATCTGAATATCGAATTTAAAAATTTTAGGATGGACATCGAATGAAACAATGAATAAAATTATTATTGATGCTGTTCAGTTGGTCAGTATAACTTTCCGTCAATTCCATCACATGATTATACTAAGATTTTCTGTCTGCAGCCAAAGAGTTGTGTTGTCTATGTGGGGAAATCCTTCAACTACTGATTAAACTTTGTATGTGTTTCATTAACAAGTTTGATATGGCAGCAATTCTGTTGAATGGTTATAGCAAAATACTGAATCAGCCTAGATTCAAATATAACCTTAGAATCAAGTCCATGAAACACATTACCGAGATATTTACTGTAGTCTACAATTTCTCAGTTGTTATTTGCTAGACACTACGGTTGAGCTGGCTTTGATTAAAATACACAGTGGAATCATGGTATCGAGTTTCAAGTATGATATAATAAATTGTAAAGAAATTTTTTCGGCTTACCGGCCACCAAGAAATTGATCTTCCAGCTAGAAAATATCCACCAACAGTGCTACGATTTGTTGAATACATCGACTGAAAATGAAGAGTTTGTGTTGATAAGCGATTACAAATAAATACATTAGCTAGAAATTTATAGGACAGATTCATTGGCAGATTCATAAATTATTTCAATCCCAACCCAATGTCATATTATTTCTATGTTTTCATCTCTTCTTTTTTGGGGGCGATACATAATTCAACAGATATGACATATGAAGATTGCATAACTAACCTAAAATTATTTTGATAAAATTAACTTGACTTACCCAAACACCAACACCAATGACACTGAAAAAATAAATTACAACAACAACTATGTCCCAAACTGTTAATCTTTCTCCTAAGAAAGCATCTGCTATCATTGTGAGATTATAGGCACCAGTTGTTGATGCAGCGCTAGTGGTTGACATTTTCTAATTTTTAATATTAACTTTGTTTACATACTTAGTAATCTGCAAGACATCTGCAAAAAAATACAAATGAGGGAACCTGTTATATTCAGATATGAAAACAATTATTAGAAATCTGAATGTTATAAATATCAAAAAATATAAACTAGAAAAAGCTTTTAGCACTTTTAGGAATGCTGCACGCCTGCACAAATGACAAACCTATTACATTTGTTGCTAGTTTGCCACTCCTTTGAAAGTAGTCAATGTGAAGCTACCTGCAAACACCACTACTATAATCTATGCAAGGAAGAAAATTCATTTGATCAATCAGATAATCAATTACAATTGAGATTGCCTATTACATCAGAAAAGCAATCTATATTTAGTTGGTAGCAGCTTTGGATAATATAAAACAAAACAGTTTTTTCAAAGATGACTCGCTTCTAAAAACATTGTTGAAATTTTTTAATGGTCAAGTGTGACAAGAATTTTTCTGGTTGCAAGAAATAGGGTAAAACACGCTTCAATACTATACCCTGACCCTACAATTTGCACTATATGTCTCAATATGTTCAAGAAGTTGATGATACAAGAGAGAGAGTCAAAAATCACACTTGAATATGAGTCAATTCCCCATAATTCACTGCATATTGCGGTACTAATAAATAAACAATTGTCATCGAGGGCTTCAGGAAAGATAAACTTTTTCATTCACAAAATTTTCTTAAATGTTTCAAGCTACTGTGGTGTTAGGAAACAGGTCCTTCTGGACATGGTTTTGTACAGCATGAATTGATTGATGGTCACGAAGTGAGAAAAATAATTCACATTTTCTCATAAGTCAACTCATGACCACAGGTTTTGCAGGTCTTTGTCCAAATATCATTTTCATCATCTTTGCAAGTTTCAAGTCCATAGTCATGTTCATGATTGCCCATGTCTTTTGTATATAAACTGCTTCGAACTTCCTTTCGCAAGTTATTCAAAACTTTCTGATACTTTTTCTTTCTTGCAGCCTCCTTTTTGACATTTTTTGTTTCACGTTTTTCTTCAATTTCTTGGAAAGAATCATAAATTTCAAGGGCTCGCTCTTTGACCTGTAACCAAACATCAAATGTATTTAATGAAAAATCAAAGTCATACAACAGGAGAATATTCAAACTTTGGTATATTTATTATAAGTTTGAAAAATTACAGTACTTGGAAAACTTCTGTGGATTTACGCTCAATAATTTTGAGATTCTGTATTTAACGCATGACAGGGACTTTGGTGTTGCAAGCTATATTTTTGTATCTGGCAAGTATCAAATTACGACTTGAAAAATTCATATTCTGATACATTTGAGAGTACGATTACAGAGAAAAAATCAACTGGTTTGTAAAATCAACTGATTAGCACAGGAAGTCCTATTACACCAGCAAATGAGTATTTTTTAAGTTGCATTCAACTAGTGCAAACACTGTTACAATTTTCTCGGAGGGCCAAAATTGTTTCGACAGGGCCTGTTAATTAATAAAATAAAACCATACAAATTATTATACAAAATTCACTGTAGCTAGGCTTTCTAGACATGAATGAATATGAACGATTAAATATAACAACTCACTTGCGACTCCAGATATAATTTCATTTCACCCCATCTAGAATTGTGAGGATTTTTTCTTGAAAAAAATTTCAATATCGGCTCTCGCTTTTCCAAGTCAATATCATTCAATTGGTATTTGCTTTTTGCTTCTGTTTTTGTTATCAATTTATGTTTTTCATCAAGGTCTTTACATTTATCACAGGTTGGATGATTAAAAGTTTTTAAAAGATAAGATTCCCTGAACTTATTGTTGCAATCTTCACAAATATTTTCATCACCACATAATGCTGGAGCTGGCTCTTCAACTCTTTTGTACTTCTGCAACATTCAAGTGGTATTTTACAAATTTTTACAGGGAATTTCACAAAGAATCTGTAAACAAGCACCTACATTTACCCCCTCCCCGATAATTTTACATCAAAATTAAGAGATAACACGGTAGTATAATGAAAATACAGATGTCTGTTGTCAGGCAATCATTTTAAACTTTTCAAAGTTGGAAATATTTGAATAAAATTGATTTTATGTTCGAAATTCGGGTTTTGTACTCCTTGTCAGAAATTCAAATGATAAAGTGAAAATTCAAAACTATTCAAGTCTACAATCACGGATTGACAGTCTATTGACTTTTCCTATGAATTATGTTGGATAATAAAGCAACATACTGTTGTACGATGTGATTCTTCATCCTCTTCAATGAAAAATCCTCCTCCTGTATCAACAAGTTTGTGTGCTACACCTGATTTCCTTACTGTAAAAGTTAGTACATAAAGTGTGATTACATAAATAATACTCCTTCAAAATAAATTTCAAATCTGAGAAAAAAAATTTAAATCAAAATAGAAGCTAAATTAATATTATGGATATTTGATATGAACAATTTGGTTGATATCAAAATAAAAGATTCAATAATACAAAAACATAATAATCAACACACATATAACCTGCAGTATCTCCGCTCACACTATTTTCTGCAAGCCTTGATTGTCGTAACAATAACGCCTTTTGGCGATTTCTTTCGATTCTAGCTTTCAAAGCAGGTGTTAATTTCTGTCTTGCATCATCCTTTTGATGGCAGTCAGCACCAACAAGTGCTTCCATTATTATATATATAAATAAGCAGAATTGATAAGATTCTAAAAAAACACCAAAAACAAGAATCGTTGATCAAAAGAATTCCATTATATATTCCATACATCTTGGCTAAAAAACCAAATACAATTATTAGTTTGAAAAGTATTCCAAATCCAAAACAGTAGTATTGCTATATCAATGAAATTGTCACATTAGAATACACAAATGTAAAATAACTGAAAGTAAAAAATTGAATGATGTTTTGAAATTATATTAGTCAATTAAATTAGTCAATCAAATTGTCACCACATTCAGTCTAAAGTAGTGGAATTTCCACAGAGCATATTCTATCAACCAGCATTCAAATATTCTTCAGGTTCCAAGTTCCAAGGTTATTAAAATTGTGATGGACATGGCCAAAATACCAATACAATCTAACATTTACTCAGATTTCTGTTTCACATCATCCATGCCACGAAGTCTTTCAAGAAGAGGAGGATGAGAGAAATGTCTGGTTGAATACAACCAGTCAGCAACAGGAAATGCTAGATTGTCCTTGAACAACTTCAATAAAGCTGTTTTCAGTTGTTCCCGTTTCCCCAAGTTGACCGCAAATTCGTCAGCTTGAAATTCGAATCGGCGACTGAGCACATTCATCACGAAAGACATGATTTCATTGAATGGAGAGAAAATAAATGAAAACACAACATATAAACGGATTAGGATTGGCTGAAAATCACTAAACCCGAAACCTACATAGAGTTGTCTAAGATTCATAAGTTTTCCAAAAACGAAAAACATGAGAAATATGTTCAACTGGATAATGACCAGGTTCTTGACCATGTGAGAGTAATACCAATGGCCTAATTCATGACCAAGCACTGCAACCACCTCTTCCGTATTACAACCAATTTTTTTCTTCTCCTTGTCATGCCCATCTTCTGTTTTTGAATCCTTTCCAGTCTCATCAGTATCAGATGTGTCTTTCATTGATTCTGTTCTTGTTACAGGAGTATAATCTTCGAGCAGCGTATCAAAGAGAACTATTCTTTTGTTCTTATGAAATCCATACATATATGCATTACTATGCGATGACCTCTTTGATCCTTCAACAACATACAGCTTCTTTAACGGGTAATCTAAACTATCTGCCAGTTCTTCAATTTTCTTCTTCAGGTCACCTTCTGGAAGTGGAGTATATTTATCAAAAAGTGGTGCGATATACTCAGGATAGATGTGTAATAGTATCATTGAGATGATGAACACCATTAGCCAGGCATATATGAAAAAGTAGTCACCCCCAGATTTTACGATGTAAATAATTAAAGACATGATGGGAAGGTTAATTGCTTCATACACTAATGTCTTTTTGATCAAATCTTTAAAAAAGAATCCAACTGTCATTTTGTTGAATCCGTGTTTTTCCTCGACTACAAATGTGTAGTAAAATTTCCAGGGTAAGTCAATTATAAGAGAAAATATGTTTCCAAGGAGTGCAAACACCAGTGAATGTACAATCTCGTTGTTTTCATCAAGTCCCACTTTATCCAAAATTGCTCCAGATAAATCCCAGACAAATGGTAAACCTCCAAACCATAAAACAGTGGTCATAATAACCTGACCGAACAAGCCATTCCAGAATTCGTAGTTGC